CTTCACTAATACTTCACTAGCAGGAAATATTGAGAAACGTACAAAACAAGAACATGCCAACCCTCTTCCTTTGCCTAAGCCGAACAGAGGCCTTTCCTCCTTTGATTTCTTAGAACGCTATGCTATAGTTCTACAATCAAAAGAAAGGTGAGAACAAACCAGGGCATTCTGGTAAATTTTGTTCTTCTTCAAAATGTGGTGCTAACAAGTGGCGTCGCTCGTACATGATGAAATGAAATGAGCAATGAGAGCTACGATGAACATGTTGTTATGGTTATCCATACGTTTGGATAAGGATCGCGCAGTGCTTTTCCTTTCGGTATGTTTCTCTACAAGGCGGTGGTACGGTATATAGCAACTCTCAGGCGCTTCGGCGTTTGAAATTCTCGGGAAATAACCCTCTAGGGAAGAGGTTCAGGGCGTTTTCTAGGGTGGTTTCCTCCATAAAGTAGGGGCTCATAGGTACACTGCAAAACAATTTTCCCTTGCAAATCTTTGCGAGTACAAAAAGGAGAGTGAAATGTTCACCTCGGTAAGAGCGACAAAAGCCAAACTCCGCTCCATCAGTGAAGTGTCCTCCCCACCCGGGCAGGCAACCTGGTTCCACAATCATGTCCTCATGAAAGCTAAGCTCATCCAAGTTTCCAGCGTCGTCGTGCCTGTGTAGTTGCCAGTGAACAGCCCCAACGAGAGAGAAACATTGATTGACTGTCTCCGCCCACAAGATGAGTGCGGACCCCGCCTCTGACTGTGTTGATTTCATTGATTTGTTGCAGTAAGCAATACTCGTTACCTTCTGTCATCGTTCGGACCTGCTCAAAAACTAATGCAATCTATTATTTATTCGTCAATTGTGTCTAGAAGTTCATTTCTACGTCATTACGCATTTCTTTTTCCCTTCTTCAGCAGCAAGCCGCGGTTGCAGTTGACCTTTTCGATTTTTCCCGTCGGATGCCTTACTGATTGGCACGAGCTTGGGATAGAATGCGTAAGGCCTCCGGTTGTATCCTTCGTCCTTTCTCGAGTAAATATTCAGAACGTGCCCAGTTGAGACTGCCCCCCCCCCATTGAGGACGATGGGTTGAAAGGACAAAGTTTTCACCAATGATCGATCCTCCTTGGGAGGCGCGCGCATTCCACCTCCATACAGAATCGTAGTAGCTTATCAAACGGGCTGGGGCCAATACAGTGCTCTGGGAAGCCAGCCGATGTAAAAGTCAGTGCGGAAAGCCGAGCCGGGACCAGTCTTCCGGACCGCACGCATGCTAAGCGCGCGACTGTACACTACAACACCTACGTCTCTCACTAAGGCAGCGTTCATACTTCGCGGCAGCACCGGCGATCGCGGCGATCGCGGAGGTCGCCGCGATCGCCGCTGCTGTCGCGAAGTATGAACGCTGCCTGACACAATTTTAGGAAAGGAGTCTCCATGCTATCGCAAGCAAAGAACAGCGGCTTTGAGCACTTGATTGAGAAGTGGGCTAAGGGTGTAACCCACGGTGAGCTAAAATTCAGTATTGTGCGAAGAAACCAGTCCCGGAAACCAGACGAAGCTTTGGAGTGCTTACGGAGGCTTCTTCTTCAACTTTTTGAAAAGAGAACCAGCTTAGCAGCTAAAAGTGTTCATCTGAAACGTGCCCCTCCACCAAATATCTTCTGTATTCCAACTTCGCCTTTTCCATCGTTCCTTTTTCATTTGGGAAGCGAGGACGCGCTTAACCACAGTCACCGCGAGCTAGAGAGAGGAGAGGTGAGAGTGAGTGAGTGAGAGGCGTGGATTGGAGCGCAGGCTTTCTCCACTAATTTATGCAATTCTGAGCCTACCACGATTGGTTGAAATGTCTGCCCATGCTCATCCACCCCCTTTAGGCTGCTTTCATAGCTTGCGACGTCCACCAGCGATCACTAGAGTCCGCCAGCGGCCATCGTCATTTCGAGTCCGTCAGCGTCAGCGACAAGGAAGCTATAGATACCATTCTAACGAACGGGCGTACTCCTAGTTCAGGCTCCTGCTGCCTGCTCCTACCTTCCCCCATATACTCTCGCTCTTACTCCACGGTACCCTTTGGACGCTGGTGGACGCTTCCGCAAAATATTAGCGCAGCTTTACATGCCCTCTCGTTGGTAGAGATAACCACTGTGCTTGCTAGATGTTGTCCTTTATATGGTTCCACGCTGACCGCGAATGCGCGGGTTCAGGCCTACTACCGTGCCCTTGCTTCCCTGTGGTCCCAGCATGCCGCGACAAGCCAGAGACATCAATGCAAAGGGTGGATCTGATTCTGTCTGAATGATCACTGTGGTTTTTGAAGATTTCAACAAAAACAACCTAAACAACACTTTATTTTGTGTTATTCACGTTTGGGCTTAATAGCAATGAATATGTGTATAAGGACTATTATTAGATGAATAGGAGTAGCAGCGAGTATAAAAACGGAGGCTAGATCGTAATCATCATCAAATGCCATTATGGTGATATTTGCACACAGCAGACAGGCCCGTAATATATGCGCTTCGCATATCTGAAATCCGAAACTTAAAGTTGGATCATGATTTCAAATTAACTCCGTTTATATCCTTGCAAATGGTGGGTGAGCATGGAGCAGGAGGCGCCGGGTGTGACAAGACAATCGTAACATATCGCCCTAATGGGCGTGGCGCTTCCTCGGGACAAGCTGTCCTGCGTGACCGTGTGAATTTGCATTCCGAAGGAACGGGAAAACAATGCATGTTATTCGGCATGCAGTCTTGCTCCGCTTCAATTATACGAATTCACTGCACCAATCGTCAAATCGATGCAGAGGAAATGGTGCCGCGCATCGCCGCACTGTGCGTCGCTTACGACGACGTAGCGGATTATGGTTGCTTTTGGTCTCTCGAGGCACCACAATACATGAAGCCAGCATCGCGGATATAGAGACAGGAGCGAAGGGTCGTTCAGCGAGTCGGCGGCTCAACAAACAGCATGTCAGCCTGAACTGGAATAAGAAAGGAAGCGGCGGCGGGAATGATTTGCTTTCATTAAAAAAAAAAAAAAAAAAAAAAAAAAAAAAAAAAAAAAAAAAAAAAAAAAAAAAAAAAAAAAAAAAAAAAAAAAAAAAAAAGTAACAATGGACCGCAATCGTGTCTAGACAGACATCATAGCTGGTGAACAGAAATCAGTCATCTCTTAGGACATGCGGCCCCACAGCGGCGAGCACGACGTTAGAGGCGGGGTGATGTGCTCGAGGACAATTCGCGGAGTCCCAATCTTCGTATTTAACCACTGGCAGCGCTTTAACGACGTGGCCAAGCCTTATCTTTGGTTTCTGTGCCTTCGCGTCACCTAGGTAGGAAAACGTGCAATACCACGATTCGGAAATGTGTGGATCTGTGCGTAGGAGTAGGCAGGAACCCTCATGAAGTCTGCCGTGCACCTGATTCGACAACATTCTGCTCAGTTGCGCTCACACGCTCGCTCCGCCTTCGCGTCAGTCCGCTAGGCAGCGAAAGCAGTGGGGGCGTGTCAGCGGGGGGGGGGTGGGGAGGAAGTTCTATCGCTGAACGTACCGAGTGGCTATTATTGGTACTAGCTATGTGGCCGTGGACAAGAGCTCTTCGAGAAGCGGCCTTGATATCTCTGTGCCCGTGGACAAGAGCTCTTCGGGAACCCTTGATATCACTGATACAGAGAGTTGGTGGGCGTTGAACGCGTTGCGTACCCATTCACTTCCGTGCTTTGTTCGAGCACCAGCGCTTAAAGCGAGGCAATTGCCTCTTGGAGAACCCACCATATATCTCCACGAATAGGGCACGAAAAATCTCGTTTCCGATCGATTGTCTTCTCTTCGCACTTGTAATCGGAAGAACTAGAATAACGAAAAGACTACGAGGGTCACTGATTAGAAGGAAGCTTTACCCGACATACCTCTACACTGAGACATCCCAGTATAAGCAAAAACACTACAAGCATGTTAAAAATAGCGAGTAATAACGGAAGCATGGGATTTTCGGAACCAGCATAACTCAGTACACAAATAGCGCACCAGACCTTGAGAAATGAAAGCGCTGACCATTTTTATGAGCAGATCCCTTCTTCCGAATCAACGTTAGCTCAAAAACAGTGGGCACAATGGCTGGGGTGTACGGCTATTGCCGTCGTCATTGGTGGATGGGCTGTGAGAAGGCATTTGGCCACAAATCACTCAGCGTTCCCGCCAATGGTGAAAGATGTAAACGGTCGGCCGCCCCCATCCATCGTGCACATTGCCTCTAGGGTTTCATTCAGACTTTGCGGCAGCGTCTACCAGCGACCACTAGTTCACCAGCGACCGTCAGCGCCCCGAGCGTCCGCCAGCGTCAGCGACTTAAAAAGTATTGGTGTCGATCTAGCGAATGGCCGCGTCCAACAGCGACCATCAGCGTCTCGCGGGGCTAGGAAAGTGTGAGCGATCTGGTGTCTGCCAGCGTCCACCAGCGCCAGGAGTACGGTATTGTGTAGTAGTACGGTGCGATTGCACATGTGACAAATTAACGACGCTCAATCCAGCTGTTCGCTCCCTCCTACTTCCCAGTACTTTCTACTCCTAGTCGTTGGTGAAGCTGGTCCACGCTAGAACAATATCCATACTTTCCCAGTTCATCGAGTTGCTGATGGTCGTTGGCGGACGCTGGTGGACGCTGCCGCAACGTATGAACGCAACCTTACCAATCATTGCGCGTTGCCCTTCACTCACACCTTTAAACAAGGCGTTTTACGGGTATCCCGTTTGATAGGAAAAAGAAAGCTAGGTAGGTGAGCAGAGGGCGGCAAAGATAGTCGGATGGTGCAGCGCTTTAGTGCGACCATGCCACATTGGTTCTTGTTTTGCCTATGTTGTCTCGATTCTTGCTATTATGCCAGAGAATTTGTGCCCCACCCTGTTCCTTGAAGGAGTGCCTACAAGCACAAATGGCGTGGCACCTCCGTGTAGCACTGGCACCCCCAACCACCTTTGCACAGCAAGGTCTTGACAGACACCATTCCAGTCGCAACCACTGAGAAGCACTGAGCTGAAGATATCACTTACTGCTTCTATCACCAGTAATATAAGGGTGAACTTGGGCCTTTCGTTGAGATAGTCGCCTCTGACCACCATTGATTGCCTCGCTTCACCCATCATAGGGGTGTCTCTTAGCATGGGCTCACCTGTAAATCGTGCCATAATTGTTACAACGGTACTGGGGCCATGAGCCTCGGAAGGGGGCGAGTCTTTTATTTTACGCAAACGATTAGTAGCCCGTCATATTCAAGGGTAGACCACTTGTCATTTATGACAGAATGAGATGATTCACCCACTCTGAGACTCAATTTCCCCTCAAAATATCGGGATGCTATGGCGCTGGCGCAAGTTTGACCCTTCCTAGGAAACATATTGCAAAGCGCTCCCTCGTCAATTTGACCAATGAGCTCACCTTTCACCTCGATTGGTTCACAGGACCTTTTGCTATTCATTGCAGCTTCATAGGCAAATCTTGTCCGTTCCCACTGTGTTCTATCGAAAACAACCGCTTCCTGCATAATTCATTAGCAGAAAGATTTGCGAGTGAAGGCTTGTTCCGACATTGTCGGATGGGTGGAGACCCATGGCCATGTGTCTCCCCTCACTGGAGCGTTTCCCTCATCACCGTGCATCAGAATGAAGCTGCGTTCGTACTTTGCGGCGGCTTCCACTAGCGTACTTCGAGCGAAAGCCAGCGCCAACGACCAACGACTAGAAAAGTGAAGGTATGGATATCGATCTAGCGTGTACCAGCATTTCAGCCACGTCCGGCCAGTAGATAGTATGGGGAAGTAGGAGGGCAGCAGACAGCGGGACTAGGCGCCGAAATCGCCACACGTGTAATCATACCGTACGACCGCTAGACACAGAACTATGCAAATATGACGTACGTTGTAATGCAGTTGTACGGTTGCACATGCCACAACTGCACGACGCCTGATCCAGCAGTGTTCTAAACTCCACTTCTCCATACTGTCCACTCCAGGGTGGACGCTGGCGTTTGCTAGATCGATACCTATACTTCTCTGGCCCCTCGAAAGTGTTGCTGGACGCTGGCATACGCTGAATGACGCTCGCGAGTGCTGCCCAAAGTATGAGCGTAGCCTAGGGAGAGCACCTGTGAGGAAGGCGCAATGGCAGCAGGTCTCCAGAGTCTGAACACATCAGCGGACTCTTCTTTAAAGACACATTGAGCGACTTTCTGACTTGTAGAGTCCACTATCGCGTACAGAGTGAGTAGGTCTGCAGTCTCGTGGGGTGTACTGCTTCCACCGCTTCGAATTCTCTGGGAAGGATGCAAAAGCTCACAAAATGCCTGAGGCCCGTCCACTCTCCATTTGAATATTACGACGGTAACCAAATTGATTTGACGGTGGAAAGTCGACCGAGTATTGGTGAACCAAAAGAAACTAACAGAGGGGGGGGGGCGTATTCAAAGCAATCTGGGCGATTTCTCGTGTCCTTTCTTCGCTGTTGATTCATTTTGCGCTAACAAAGTCATAATTTGACCCCAGCACACAGTCTTTCCATCGCGAAGTGTGTTTTCGAATGAGCTTGTCCAACTGGAGTTTCATGGCATTGAGGGGAAAGAAATGTTACCAAAGAGCTATGTAATGAATGTGCATCTTCGGATTTCACTTTCTCCTTGACTTTCCCATCGCCGTTTTCCTCCTTGTCGCCTTCCTTTACTCCTTTTCGGTAAAAAATCGTCGTCTTTCGGTGGACTTAACCCTGAACATACTCATGATTAATGTTTGCTTTGGCAGGCCATAGGCTTTCGTTAACTCTATGAAATTCAAGATAAGAGAGGAGCGAGCACGACCTGTGAAAGCTCGACTCACGTGAACCTCTAGTAACAACCGCGTATTGTTGAACCATCTGATGTCATAAGAATGACTAGGCACAGTTGTTGGAAATATCGGTAAAAAACATTTCACTTTGGATGTTGATAAGACCCGGTCTGATTGGGTTTAGCTTGGAAAATAACCACTGGATGCTAATCAATCATAGTCTAAAGACGGTAGGTGTGATGACAAGACTGTAATTCATGACCAGGGTACGTCGTACGCTGGGGATTGGAAAGAAGAAGGATAGGGGTTGTATCTGGTCGTTGGAGGGAGAGAGAGGTCGCTGAAAGCTCCCATGCTCCCTTACACCCCTCTCCTGTCGCAGGGGGGGGTGAAAAAGTAAAGCATTTTTGAAAAATAGCCACGGAAAAAAGGTGGAAGTTGGAAAAATTCAGGGAGATGGGAGGCAGGATGGGAATGGGCAGAGAGGTGTCGTACCGGAGTGGAACGTTTTGGGGAGAATAGTATTCTGCAAAAATTATCCCTAATGGAGGGGTGCCCTTTTCATGGCTCCCACTTCCATCCATAAGGAAGGACGCTCAGCGCAACTGCTGCATGGGGACTAACGCATCTTTGCGCACCCTTTCGTATCTTTTATCTCTCTCCTGAGAGCTCCGTAATTCTTTTTCTTCATTCCTCCTGCTCCTGCAGTAACTAAAGATCCGCGTCTGAACTCCATTACCTATGATATTGTCCAGAGTAGGACCGTTAACGGTAATGTCCTAGGTTTTCTAGTGCTCGTGGATGGCGCTACAGCTGGCATATGGTCAACGCTCTTCACCCACCGGGAGGGGAGGAGCATGGACGGCACAGGAGGAGGTAGATACCCCTTTCATCTCTTTCTTCCTTCATCTACAAGTAGCTTCGCACCCATGAGACGCGGTAGGCGTGGCAATGTACTTCATTTTGAACATGGCGCACGATGGGTTACTCGTGGGGTGTTTCAATTTGGACAACTACCACATTGTTTTGTGAATTCGACTACGCCTGTGGAAAAAAGAGTTTGCGTTTGAAGCTAACGAAGACGATGTCCTTGAGAAACGGGTTGGTTTCTCGCTCGCTCAACGGAACGAACATCTCTGAATGCTCCAGCTATGTGTACCTGGGTCGGGAAACTCAACTGTGATGAACGACTTCGCACCAAGAGCTGAGCAGAGGGAGCGAGCGGTTGGGGAGCTTTCAAGAACATCGGAAAGTAGCGAAGAAGAGGAAGGACACAAGGTTCCGTGGTCAGGATGTGCATGCGGTTAGCGTCATCCAACGCGCCATCAAAAGATTCGGAGTTTCCCCCATCACCCAATTAAGAAAGGGAATCCGCAATTCCGCACTCCGCACGACCATTGAAGCTCAGGGACGAAGGCGGTTTTTGCCATGGTTTCGGGAAGGGCTGGTTTGGACACCTTATGCGTTTCGAAGACAGCTCCATGGATCAGAACGGTAATCGGCTGGACTCCACGGATTTCAAACGATCCTCTGGACCTACGTGATGGAAAGCTCTGAACGAATGATTGATGCTCAACGTGATCCTCGAGCACAGGGAACGCGCTAAGCGACCCTAGCATGTCACACAGACGAACGGAGACGTTACTGGCGCCTGTTTGATCAATCAAATCGATGATCAATGTACAGATGATACAGGTGAAGAGCAAAGATAGTAAGCAAGAACAGTTTGAAGGGTAAATCGGCGAGTACCAGGAGGATAACGACGAGCAGCGTGCTGGACAGCGACGCAAACCTATGAAGAAACCAGATGCGGAAGCATTTGCCGGAGGTTTGACACAGTTTTCGACCCGTTCCCACTCCACTGAAGCCTTTCTTTAGACGCGTGACCAAGGCCTCTAACGGAATTCTTTTGTTCCTGTGAATAATCTTATGAAACCTATTGCTTACCTTGCAGCATGTTCGGCGGCAGTGATTGGTTGCGGCTTTTTTCCCTCCTTCTCCCGCCCTGAAACACGAGAGTGATTCAGGTGAAGAGTGAGGAACATATTAAGATTTTTGATGGAGTAGCTAGAAACTGATAGTATCATCAGCGGGGTATAGAGTCTGCTGCTTGATCTGGCATGGCCAAATGCTGGTAGCGGGAGTTGGTTCCCGGCGTCATTGAGTCGCCCTACCAGGAGAGGCTTTGCCACACTCTCGAGAGTTACGCTTCCCACCGACGTGACGTTGCAGCCACCAGCCCCTGCCCTAGCCATCATGGCTTTACTGCCTTGTGAAGATATAGTTATCACTTCTTCGAGCAAGGTGGCGATGTCCGCAGTAGGAGACAGTGTAAAGCTTTTTCACTTTTGCAGCAAAGAAGTGCTTGAGGTCTGGCAATATGACCTTCAGCACTGAAGGACTGCGACCTATGGAACACCTCCCTGTCGAGCTGCTTGTCCACTTACACCCGTTTTTAAAGCCGTATCGCAGACGCTATGCTTTATGGCAGTATCACTGATTACAGAAATTGCCACAAATTGCGGCGAAGAAAGACTCAATGAAGAAAAAGAAGCAGACCATGGGACAAAGTGGGACATGGTGTGGCAAAAGAGCATATGATTGAGGCGTCAGAGATGATGAAATGAAAAATTAACGCGGACATAGCTATGCCGTGGCGCGCTACCATGCAATCTCCAGTCGTTTAAGAGGGACGTGCTGTTGGGTGGCGGGTCGCACCGTATGTAGCTAAGGCTTCTGCCGCCGTGTAATCGCAGATGCTGCCTTTGAGACTTATTTGCATTGAAGCTAATGAGATTCTCCTGATAACTAGAAGTGTCGAAAGTCTCGAGAAAGGCTAGGACGGAAGCTAGCGGATGCTATTTAGCCGAGACCATCTTGTTTTTTTTGTAATTCAGGTCGAAGTTAGGATTTGCCTAGAAATACTCATATAGTAGGTTTTATCGCAGATTCGACTATGGCACGAGAACATCGCGTTGTGGATTAGGGCGCTGGCAAGCCCAAACCCTCTTCCAGAGCACAGAGAACTTAGTACTCCTTATGAAGGCAAGAAACAGATTCTCTGGCCCGTGCCGTGTTCCCTGCGAGGCAAATTCCCTGGGCTGCATTCATACCTTGCGGTAGCGTCCACCAGCGTACTGCGTTGCGAGCGTCCGGCAGCGTCACCGACTAGCAAAGTTTCGATATCCACATTTTTCTTGTTCCTCGAGTCGATCGCCAGCGTCCACCAACGACCAGGGGTACGGCAGTATGTAGTAGTACGGTGCGGTTGCACCTGCCACGATTTCACGACGCCTGATTCAGCAGTCTCTTCCCTCTTACTTCTCCACAGCCGTCTGCTACCCTCCTGTTCCTCCATACTCTCTGTCTCTGGTCGCTGGCGGAACCTGGTAGACGTTGGATGAGGTTAGTAGACGCTGCCGTTCGCTAGATGAGTATCAAAAGTTTCCCAGTCGCTGCGGACGCTCGAAACGCTGATGAACGCCGGTGGACGCTGCTGCAAGGTATTGAAGCAGCCTTACCACTGCGCATTCTATTCAGCAATATTAATATTAACGTACGAGCCCTTGACCCGATATAAGACCTGAACGAGAGAAGCTTTCCCTAGGTAATAACTCGGTTGCTCACCTTTCCTTTATCGACGTTTATCACTGGTTCAGCTTCGACCACTTGTTCATGTTTGCTGGGTACCTTAGGACTTTCAGACTTTGTTTTTTCGCGTGATTTGCTTTTCCTCCAAGGAAAGAGGGTCTTTGAAATACTTTTCGAAGTACTTTTTCCGCCTAAATATTTGAAAATTTTTATCGTCACTGCATGCATACGCAACTCGAAATAAAAAACATTATCGGTTATCTCATCAATCAATTATATACAGTCTTGTCCGCTGCGGGAGCATGTCAGGAGGTGTGAATTTGGGGCGACGCCAGGCCTGTTTATCACCAACTGGACGCAAGCGAGCGACAGGCTTTTGCAGGGAACAAGATTGTACTCCTTCGTTTTCATCTCTCAGCATACCGACGGGGCGCAACTCGGCCTGGTAGGGGCTTTATATAGTAGTGATAGAAGATTCGTACAGTGGTGCACAGATCACTTTGTCCCTTTATCTAGACTAATGAATCTATTCGAAAGCATGAGGCACGATAATTTGGTATTCGGTCTAAAATGGTAGCAGGAGTGCTATATAGTGGGGAAATGGCGAAAAAGCGAAGTGAAACGGTCAAAAACCTGCAAAAAAACCTTTGTTCTACACGACTCAGAAAGCGATTTCGGACGAGTTTCCTCTTGGCATCATGCCAATAACGCTACGGTAGATACGGCTGCATGTACGTAATCATGAATCAATGCAGCAGAGTAACCGCTTCATATTGTACTTCGCAAATAAAGCGATACGAGCTCCAGAATCGGTCACACATATGTGGGCGGGCGGGCACGATTGGCGTCCGGGTCGGTATGTTGCAGCTTGAAAGGGCACTGTAGAAGTACCTTCCTTGGGAACCACGCTACGTAGCGCCTTCTCAAGGGCGTTGAGAGCTAACCTGCTATGCGCATTGATCCTACAGGTCTCGGAGATTTATCGTGCGACTTTAAGGGATCTGAGCTCTGTCAGGCAGAGTGGCGAAGTGGTGAGCGTTATCCAACGCGGTGTGAGAAGGTTTGGAGTGTTCCTCCACAAACACAGCCACAAGAAGGTTTAGTGGCTTCAAGACTCGATTACGATCGTTTACGTTTTACCGGAATAGGTTTGTAATTCTTGTGGGTGACAACAGGGGCCAAGCCATTACCGACTGCACCTCACTGGACCTCGGAGGAACACCAGAATTGTCTGTCCCCTTTTCGGCCTCTTTCACAAACACTTGAAGTCAAAAGTATGGAAGGCCTCGGGTTGGTTGAGGTGGAATTACCCACTAACACCCCGGCTCACAAGAGGTACAT